GATCATGCCTTAATCCCCTCTCCATATTTCCATCCTGCTGGCATTTGGGGCACTCATACAAGCCCCTGGTACATTTTTCAAGTTGCCAGTCCTGGATTTGCACCACGGTTGGCCATGTGGGATTTGCCTCTTAATCATGGTGCTTTGTGGCTGGCCCGAGGGCTATTTTCAATAATCCATAAAAGAACAGTGATGGGGCCAATAGATGGCATGGTGGGTAAGGGTGCTAGAGTCCCGGACCTAGCAGCTTACTTTCTCACTTTCCCCCTCTCTTTCTCACTCTGTCCCTCTCTGGTCAAAATTAAATAAATAAGTAAACAAAGTAATAAAATAATTTTTTAAAAAACAAACAGTGATAACGAGTATTTCAGACTGCACCGTAACAGTTATGGAGGCACATGCCAGTCACCTGCACGTGCCGAGCAGACGTAGTACATGCTGTACCCGGTCAGAGCTCAGGCTGACAGCCCAAATTAAGCACCAAAGTGTACTCACGGGATCCTCGTGGTGAAAAGATTGGGAACCACTGGATTAAACTGCTGTGCTGCTTTAGCAGGGGCAGAGAGGTAACTTCCTGCCAAGTCCTCACATGGTTTACACCTAACCTGAAAGTCAGACCTTGGAGATGAGTCAGAGTTTCAGGAGGGTTCACAGCATCATCTGGGAGCTGAGCCAGACTCATAAAGACTGTAATACCGATAAGAAGTATTCCCGGGAGGGAGAAGAGACAGACCTGACTCCTGGCCAACAGAAGAGGCAGGGGTGGGCTTGGTCTTACGAGGCTCTATTTTCCTTTCCATAAACTCACATCACTTTATTTTAGGCTTGTTTGTTCATCTTCAGGGCCTGAAACAGCTTGTGAAACCTTCATTCCGTCCCAGAAGCTGCTGCTAGGGAACTTGGAATACCTAATCTTTCATTAGAGATTTAAATTTATCGCTTTCCCCACAAGCCTTGTGTTTGTGCTCATTTCGACAGCAAGTTATTAATATCAGATTTTAATCTTCTTCTTTTCTTTTTTTAGTGATTTTTGTCTTAGGGCATGTGCACTCGCTGGGGAGAGAGAAAAAGAGAGAGATAGAGATAGTGAGAGGGAAAGTGAGAAATCATCCCCTAGAGGGGATGGCCACACTGCAAACTTTTCTCCTCCATTCTCCTCCTGGGATCTTGAGCATGCACACACACATGCCTGGCTTGAGTTCCAAGCCACAGGGTTCAGGATTCAAACCACGATCGGCCACATGGGTATCCAGCAATGTAACCATTAAGCCATCTGCTGGCCCCACTTACTTTTCTTTAGAAACTGACAGAACACTTGGAGGTCAGAAGCTTACATGTGATGTCACGTTCTGTTGTCAGGCACAATTTTTCCCTAATTAGATGAAAAGAGAAGCTGACGCTTATTTTATTTTCGAATTATTCATTTAATTTATTATTGTTGTTGTTATTATTTAATTTGACCAGAGAGAGAAAAAGTGAGAAAGCAAGCTGCCAGGTTCAGGACTTGAACTGCAGACAGCCATGTGGGAGTTCATTGCCTTAATCACCACGTCATCTACTGGCCTCCGAAGCTTATTTTAGAAAACTGTCTGGAGCATGCCCTCTAGCACAGTAGTTAGGTACTGTGCAGAGGGCTGGATCCCACATGGCTAACCAGGGTTCAAGTGCCAGTCTTGAGCAGCTTGAAAAACACACCAACTACATGCACGCGTGCCCAGGATCCTGACGGGATGAACTGGAGAAAAAAAAGGAGTGCAGTAGACTGAGTCCCATTGAGGGGTGCTCTCTTTCTCTCTTGTGCTTGTGCCTTTTGGCATAAACAATTAAGAAAAAAAATAAACTATTTAGGAATACTGGACACTGGGACCAGCAGATGGCATAATGGTTATATCGCTGGACTCCCACGTAGTTGACCGTGGTTCAAGTCCTGGACCTGGTGGCTTAAACTTCACGCTGGGCATGCCTGCGTGTGTAACCAAGATCCCAACAGGAGAATGGAGGAGAAGGAACCATGGTGTGACCATCTCCCTGGGGTGGGGGGTGATTTCTCACTTTCTGTCTCTCTGTCTCTGTCTGTCTCTCTGGTGAGCACATGCACCCTATAGCAAAAATCTCTCATTAAAAAAAGAAAAAAGAATACTGGATATTAACTGAAAAGTCAGCTACTAAAAGTCAAGTTCTAGAAATAAAAATGATACATCATTGTGTAGTACATCCTATAGCCATAACTTTTATCATATATATTACATTGGATATACTTTTTTTGAGAGAGACTTTTGCTATAGGGCGCATGAATTCACCAGAGAGACAGAGATTCAAAAAGCGAGAAATCTTCCCCAAGGGAGGATGACCATGCCAATTCCTTCTTCTCCATTCTCCTCTCAGGACTCTGGGCACACATGCACACACACACCCAGTGTGAGTTTCAAGCCACTGGGTCCATCTACATGGAAGTCCAGCACCTTAGCCACTACTCCACCCACTGGTCCTAGACATATGTTTATTTTACATATATGAGTCATCTATGTTTATAATAGTGTAGATCCATATACAACCTAAAATGAAACAGAAGAGGAGTCAGCAAGTAGCATGATGGTTAAGGAGTTGGACTCCCACATGGCCCACCACAGTTCAAGTCCCGGACCTGGCAGCTTGCTTTCTCACTTTCCCTCCCCCTGTCTGTCTGTCTCTCTCTGGTGAGTGCATGAGCCCTATAGCAATACTTAAAAAAAAATTAATGATAAATAAAATTAAATGAATAATTCTTTAAAAAAAATAAAGCAGGAGAGTCATTGTACACCTGTCAGACATCATACTGGGTCAGCAAGACTCAATGACAAAATGTTAAACTTGGAAATAGAAGCCTATAAGAATTAATAGCAGGGCTAGTCGGTGACATGGTGGTTAATGGCACTAGACTCCCACATGGCTGAGCGGAGTTCGAGTCCCAGACCCGGCAGCTTGCTTTCTCATTTTCTCTTTCTCTCCCTCACCCAGTCAAATTAAAATTAATTAATTAATTAATTAAAGTTCAATAAAATAATTCTAAAAAAAAATTAATACCAAGGGCTGTCCCCCCCCCCCTTAGCATGGCAGGTAAGTACTATACATAGAAAGTCAGATTCTACATGGCTGACCTCAGTTCAAATCCCAGCTCTGGTGGCTTGAAAAACATACCAGGCATGTGTGCATGCATGCATGCTCAAAATACTGACAGGATGGAAAAATGGAGGAAAAAAACTGCCGTGTGAACATGCTTCATGGGAGGTTGCTTCCTCTTTCTCTCTGGTGAGCACACTGACAAAAATAAAACACTAAGTGACTGAGTTTAAGGAGTAACATACATAACACATGCAACAAAGTTACAGAAGTTTGTAAACCTGCTGCCAATTGGTAAGGTCCTTCAAGTTTTCTAGAAGCCTAAGGGAACTCCAGGCTTACAATTTAATTAAACAGGACATGTTATCATCTTGCTATTTATATTGTATGCGGTAAGAGAGCCTTGACAAGAGGAAGGCCAAAAAGTAAAACACCTGCCATCGCTTACCCAGTACTGAGTGTTCTGTCTACAACCTCCACCCCACCCCCCCAAAGTCAAGTGGTTTAACAGATCTTAAAAAAATGGAAGGCCAAAAAGTAAAACACCTGCCATCGCTTACCCAGTACTGAGTGTTCTGTCTACAACCTCCACCCCCAACGCCCCAAAGTCAAGTGGTTTAACAGATCTGAAAAAAATGAACCTCAGGTCTTTGCTTTCTTCTCTATTTCCAATTTCTGCTCTCTCAAGGGAACTACTTTCAACTCTCAGCTTCTTCTGATTCTTAACTCCATATTTCTAAACGTGCTTTTTTTTTTGAGAGAGATTTTCACTGTAGGGCGCGTGCGCTCGCCAGACAGACAGAGAGAGACATAGAGACAGAAAGCGAGAAATCACCTCCCAGGGGGGATGGTCACGCCGCAATCCCTTCTCCTCCATTCTCCTCTTGGGATCTTGTGCACGCACGCACACGCGCCCGGCGTGAGTTTTAAGCCACCGGGTCCGGGACATGAACCGCGGTCGACTACATGGGAATCCAGCGACATAGCCATTACGCTAACTGCTGGTTCCCTAAACGTGCTTTTGAACTACTGATTTTCTTCCGGTTTAGACATTGTCTGTTAACCACCTACTGTGACGAGTTATTGACCTCTCTTACAAGTCCTCTCCGGCACACACAGTTGCCTTTCCCTTACCCCCAACACCCTCATCTCATGATAGTTGTGTATGTGTATATATATGATTTTTAAAAGTTCACTTTTCTGTTTCTTTCATGAGACAGCCAGCCCAGATCATGGTCATGTTCATACATGACAGGGTAGTCAGGGAATTCTCGGCATTGAACCAGAAACCGTCTCACGTGGACTGACTTGCAGAGTATTGCCTGTCACCGCCTTGCCATCTGGCCCTGTGATATTCGATCGGATCATTATTCATACAGAGCCACGTAGTATACATGGCATTCTCTTTGTATTATAATTTTTAAAGTTTTTTTTTTTTTGGATTCAATCATGCCTCAGTTTTTCATTTGTTTAACTTTAAAATTTTTTTTAATCTTCCATGAGAGAAAAAGAGAGGGTGAGAGAGGGAGGCGCCCCTAACAGGGTCTTCATACCACAATCCTAACCCAGCCAAGAATCACAAGATCCAGCCAGGATCACAGGCACACATGTGCACGTACCCAGCATGCTCAGGGAGAACGTGGGACAAATCTGGGACTTTCTCACGTGGACTCAACTTTGCAGAGGGTTACAGTACCACTGCATGTGCGTTTAATATATATATTAAAGTTTACTTATTTATTCCATGGGCAAAGACAGAGAGCACCCTCAATGGCTCTTGATGCCGCCATCAGTCGACCCTGGCCTCAGCCAGCCCTGGACCACAGAGAGGCACATGCCTGGCTTACTCAGGGAGGTCTTTGGGTAGGAACCTAGGACCCTCCCATGTGGGTCAGACTCACAGAGCGGGTGTTCTACTGCTGTGCCACTGTCTGCTGCCTGTTTCTGGAAATTCTGTTATTCTGATTTGGTCTGATGACTCCAGGTTGTCCAGTAATATCTAAGAATAAAATACAAAACAAACAACAACAACAACAAAAACACTTACTGGAAGCTGCGTGTGGGCTACTGAGTTTCCTGACTGGTGGGTTTCACTGCAGTGGATCTAGCAGGAAGGGAACTGTTTTTGTTAGGGCACCCCCAGTTGTCGTGTCTGTGGGTCTTTTCTCCAGATAGATACTATTTGTTTTGTTCTTCCCGAGAGAGGAAGGTGAGTGGGTGAAGAGGAGGTGGAAAACCGTCACCAGGTTATTGGCAGCCCCATAGGAAGGAGGCCGGGTGTCTCAGCCTTTTGGACGCAGACTTCCCAGTAATCGCTCTGTTTTCAGGAAGGACCCCTGTCCTCAGATGTCTGTCCTTCAAACACATTCCTTTTTCCTCAACTAACTTGAGAGTAAAGCTATTCCATTCTAGTACAGAGCAGTGGGGGGACGGGGGTACCTGGCTAAGGGCTGAAGGACAATATTTAGAAAACCAATTTTTTTTTTTTAAGAGAGATTTTTTTGCTATAGGGCACATTGCTCCCCAGGAAGACAGAGAGACAGAAAGTGAGAAATCACCCCCCAGGGGGGATGGCCACGCTGCAATCCCTTCTTCTCCATTCTCCTCTCAGGATCTTGGGCACGCACACACACGTGCCTGGTGTCAGTTTCAAGTTGCCGAGTCTGGGACTCGAATCACAGAGGAGTACATGAGAGTCCAGCAACTTGAAGACCTCCCTGAGTATGCTAGGTATGTGTCTACCCATCACCTGAGGCTAGTTGAAGTTGAATGGTGGATCAAAGCACCAAGAATCTGTTGGGGATCCTGTCTCTGTCTCACTCTCATGAAAGAAAGAAAGAAAATAAACTGGAAAAATAAATCCAGGCATGGTGGTTAAGGTGGCTCAATCCCACATGGCCTACTGCATGGTTCGAGTCCTGGACCCAGCAACTTGAAAAACACACCAGGCACATGTGTGTGACCAAAATCCTGAAAGGAGAAATGCAGAAGGGATTGTGACATGGCCAGCCCCCATGGGAAGAAGGATGCTTTCTTACTTTCTCTCTCTTACTCTCTGGCAAGCACACATGCCCTGTAGCATTTTTTTTGTTTGTTTAATGCAAACCTGTGCTGTCATTTTATTGCAATCAGGGAGAGGAAAAAATGGCATGCTTAGTAAGATGTCCTTATCATTTCTTGAAGTCCAGTTTTAAAACAAAACCTTTCAAAACTTCTCAAAACCATCCAAAGGTCTGTTGCTGCAGCTGCGCAGCCTACAGAGTGCTACATCTCCTCTTCCTGTCATTTACTATGCTCCAACCACACTGGCCTTCTTCTGATCCCTGAATGAACACACACGCTTGTTTCTCTTTCTCTTTGCCTTTCTTTCTTTTCTTTCCTTTTTTTTTAATAAACAAAAAAATAAAAAAACAAAGCTCTGTAATTGTTCCCCCAACATCCATTTTCTCCTCTTCCTTAGAAATAGAAGTTTTGGTTTTTTGTTTTTTAAAGAGATTTTTGCTATAGAGCACGCACATGTGCTGGTGAGACAGAGCCAGACAGACAGAAGACAAGAAATCACTCCCCAGGGTAGATGGCCATGCAGCAATTCCTTCTTCTCCATTCTCCTCTTGGGATCTTGGGCATGTATGCACATGCGCCCACTGTGAGTTTTAAGCCACCAGGTTTGGAACTGGAACCACGGTCTCCTACCTGGGAGTCCAGCAATATAACCATTATGCCATTTGCTGGTCCTGGAAACAGAACTCTTAATTTATAGCTTGGCACATGACCAGCCAAAACAATACGGCACTTTCTAGCTTCTTTTACAGCTAGATATGGCTAGCAAAGTTCTAACTAGTGGATGGAACTAGAAATAATACATGTAGGGGCCAGCAGGTGGCATGGTGGCACTAGACTCTCATACGACCGACCACAGAGTCCTGGACCTGGAGGCTTAAAAGTCATAGCAGGTGCATGTGCATATGGGCCAAAATCCTGAGAGGAGAATGGAGAAGGGATGGCAGTGGCCATCCCCTGGTGGGAGGGGGCTGATTTCTCACTTTCTCTCTGTCTCTTCCTTGCGAACGCAAACACCCTATGGCAAAAACCTAAAGAGAAAGAAAGAGAGAGAGACAGAAAGAGAGAGAGAGAAAGAAAGAAAGAAAGGAAGAAAGGAAGGAAGGAAGGAAGGAAGGAAGGAAGGAAGGAAGGAAGAAAGAAAGAAAGAAAGAAAAGAAAGAAAGAAAGAAAAGAAAGAAAGAAAGAAAGAAAGAAGGAAAGAAAAGGGAAGAAGTGTGCCCTTCCTCATCTCTGTATCCCAGCCTCCACCACCTCCTCCCTCTATCCTCCTAGCTGGGATCTGTAGCTGGAGCTCAATCATCTCATACTGTAAACTGAAGCTGCAGAGTAAGGATGGCCAACTGACCAGACACAGGAGGCTAGCTCCCGTTTCTGTGGAGTAACACAGTATTCAGCCCTGGAATGCTTACATACCGACTTAACTTGCACAGCAGAGAAACAAACATCGATTTTCTAAGCCCCCGTTAGCTGGGGTTTCAGTTACTCATAGCTGAATTCAACAATGACACGAGGAGGCAGATGATGGTGCAGTGGTAGCATAACTGGACCCGCTTGGGAAGATCCTGAGTTTACGTCCCGGGGCCTCCCTGTGCATACAGGTGGCAAGCACACATGCCTGTGACCTGGGCTGGCAGAGGCTGGGGGTGGGTTGTGATGGGGAGACCCTACTGGAGATGTCTCCCTCCACCTCTGAAGAAGTAAATAAGGGAACTTGAAACAACAGGATGTGTGTTCCTTCCTCAGAGTGGTATCTTCCATCCCAAGTCACTTTCTATTATTTTCCTTGTAGTGCTTTTCATGATCTGAATTTGACCATTTTTAAATTCTCTTGCTTAATTGTCATTTCTCCCAAGAAGAATGTAAGCTCCATAAAGGGGGGCCACAACTAGGTCTTAGCATGGGTGTTCTACACATATTTGTTGACACCTGGTTGGTTGAGAGCCTTACCGCTGTCAGGAGAGGAGGCAGGATTCTCTAGGTTCCGCCCGCGTGGAATAGTTGTGTTCTCTCTGTTCAGATATCATGCTTACATACCAATGCTCCAATTATGAACTCAATTTCCCAAGAGTTTTGGAACCAAAAAATCAGATCTCTAGAGATGACTTAAATCTCTTGATCAATAAAAGGGATGTCTCCCACCATAACTTGATAAACTGGGATTCTTATTTATAATAAATTAGGAGGTGTAACTTTGGTGATAGGCAAAGTGTGAACAATGGTTTTACTATTTTTGGAAATATGAACTTGACTAGTTACTTAAACGTACTGAGCTTTAGTTTCCTCATGTGTAAAAAAAAAATTAGGACGAGGGACCAGCAGTTGGCGTAATGGTTATGTCTCTGGACTCCCATGTAGTCAGCTGCGGTTCGAGTCCCGGACCCAGTGGCTTAAACTAACGCTGGGCGCGTGTGCGTGCATGCCCAAGATCCCGAGAGGAGAATGGAGGAGAAGGGATTGCAGCATGGTCATTCCCCCCTGGGGGGGGGGGATGATTTCTCACTTTCTGTCTCTCTGTCTCTCTCTTTCTTGGGAACGCACATGCCCTGTAGCAAAACCCTCTCAAAAAAAAAAAAAAATTAGGACTAGCAATACCTACATTTTAGGACTGATATGCTGATATGAAGATGAAATGAAATAATATGCGCAAGAGTTTAAGCTATCTAGCCAGGGAGAGAGCTAGCAGTAGAAGTGGGTTTTTAATCCAAGTCTGCATGTTAACATTGAATGTAGGACATCTAGACACGACATTCCTGCAAACGTGATGCGATACGAACTGGAGGTGCTCATGTCTGTCTTGCTCTCTCTTGCTCTGTCTCTTGTGTGTGCGCAAGTAATCTATCATGAATAAAGAAAAAAAAGAAGTACGTAATACTCTTGCCAAAATATAATTGAACCCAAACCTAATCAAGCTTCAAGATCTAACTACTATTAATAGTTGATAAAAAGTACAGAGGCTAGAGGAACAAGAAAAGCAACACTGTAGAAATACAACCAGTGAAATTAGAATGTGAGAAGTTCTACAGGCCAAATGATCCAGTCTTCAACCAAAAAATGGCATAAAAACAGAGAGAAAGGGAGGTGCTATAAACTAAAATAGTCTTAAGGGACATTACAAACAAATGCAATTTGTGGACCTTGTTTAGATTCTGACTGAAAAACAGCAACAACATAGTAGCTGCAAAAGACATTTCTCAGACAACTGGGGAAAACTGTGGATTCAATTTGAGTATAGGTGATAAAAAATTACTGTTAATTTTCTTGGCTATAATAATGGCATTGTAATTGTTTTTAAAATGTCTTTATTTGTGGAACTAGCAGTTGGCTTAACGGCTATGTCGCTGGACTCCCATGTAGTCAACCATGGCTCAAGTCCCGGACCCAGTGGCTTAAATTCACGCCGGGCGCATGTGTGTGCATGTCCAAGATCCCGAGGAGAGAGGAGAATGGAGGAGAAGGGATTGCGGTGTGACCATCCCCCCTGGGGGGTGATGTCTCGCTTTCTGTCTCTCTGTCTCTCTCTTTCTGGTGAGCGCACCTGCCCTATAGCAAAAACCTCTCCAAAACAAAAAAGTCTTTATTTGATAGAAACATAAAGTATGTAAAAAAGAAAGGCTTAGGATACCACAGATATGATTTTAAGTACTCCAGCAATCAACAAGAACAATAAAAAAGTACTGCAGGAGGAGGAAGATAGATATATAAGAATGGCAGAAAGCTGATGGCTACTGAAATTAGGTGATTGTCTTTTTTTTTAACATTATATACTTTCATGTGTATTTAAAACTTCCATGATAAAAGGTTAAATAGCAATTAAATTCAGTATTACATTAAAATAATTTAAACTTACTAAATGCAAAATAAAGGATAATTCAGGACCAGCAGATGTTGTGAAGGTTAAGGTAGCTAGATCCCACATGGCCAACTGCCCACTTCGAG